ACAAAATATTAAAACCTAAGTTACAAGGCTAGTTATTTTATGTGTTTTGTATATCATTCCTGCAATAGTCTGAAACGTTATATTGCTGACGTCAGCATTATTTTCGAACGCTCTCAAAACAGTGTTATACACAAAATTTTGTTTAAAATGTTTGGTTAAGGTTAAGAAGGGATTGCTTATCTAACTTAAACAAGAATCTAGAGATTTTGAATCAAAGTCGGCTTTATTTTAGCATTTGAATTTTTTGCTCCCCATTAGACGCGTTCCCTTTTTTTTGCCTGAATAAACATTACGATGCCCTCTCTAGTGTTATTTATAATCTCTATGGCCAGGCGTCCAGGCCTGTGCCAGACCTCTTTGCGTTTTGTATGTTATTTATGAATTTTTGCTTTAAAAATTAAATACCCTTGTCAGACCATAGCCGGAAGCCCATTTAATCATAATACGTAATATTAAATTAACTATAACTATCCATGACTGATTTTTCTCACGATTTTGTGAATCAAAAGCAAAATCGTCAAGACAAATTGCTATGCTACGTTAACACGAGACCGGACGAATTTCAGACCGTACTCAAATTCGTCCGGTTCCACCTTGTTCACACGGGGATTCGTACGAGTAACTGTGAACGGGGTCAAACGTTATATTATGCTGGATATATTTGCATAAACAATATTATATATTGAAGAACACTTAAGTCTCATGCAATTTAATATAACGGCCTGGAGTGGTATTATGAAAAAAAAACATAACCTCTGTGCTCAATAAATAACATGTAGCATTAGGTATGGTTGAAGAAAGGTAAACAAAAATGAAATTGACATTTTTGTAATAACTAATACTAAGCACAAACACAATGTGAGCGATATTATATAGTGATTATTCACAAATAATTCTGAAATAAATGCAAAGAAAAACAGTCTTACGACTTAACGACTTAATTCGCTTATATTCAAATCAAAAATCTTAGAAATGAGAAAGAAAACGACAAAAAATACAATAACCAATAATTTTAATTCTTAAAAATAGATATTTAAGACTATCCGGTATCCGTATCCGGTACCCGCGTTTTCTACCATGCCGGTTCCTATAGCTTTCCACCCACAGCAAAGTTTATATTTAGTATCCAATCAAAATGTCGCAAGAGAACGATAACAACAATCTAATTATAGTTGTGATCACTTTAAATATATCAACGACAATATATAATGTAATTAGCACCAACCAATCAAACGACAGATTAAAAAATCTTTTGTCTCATAAACCAATCAGATTTACAACCGAAATACGGTTGTAAAAACATGGACTTTTGTTAAGATTTGTATCAAGCCTATTTATTTATTTATAGGCCTGACCGCAGGTTAGTGTAAAGCACAGTTAATAAAATAGGAAATTATTAACTGTGTGTAAAGTGACTGCAGTGTAAACGTGCATGCGTTGCGTACTAAAATACGGCTAAATGGCAAAACAAGCGAATTCCCCACCCCGGGGCTAACCTGCAGAAATTCATGCAGTTGTGAATTGTCGTATATGTCAGTTGTGCACTGTCGATCCCAAACAATTTTGTACGTTATATTTTGTCTTCCTGGTGTTTAATGTAGGCTATGATAACCTCTTTAAAAAAATCTAGAACAATATGTCTATAGTTTTAGAATCAATAGAATGGACATTCAAGGTGTATTTGGCTGGTGTCCAAATGTGTCACGTTTAAGACCGGTAAGGCGCTATGTCCTACGACCTACACAGTGGCTTTTGAGACATCTGTTTAACAAAATTTATACCGTTTCCATATGACAACAATTCATTGGCATATTATATTATAAATATCAGAACCAGAGCCAGAACAGAAACCTACGCGTGAAATGAAACTACACCCGAACCCCGAGAAAATAAAAGGGCAAATATTTCAAAGCATGTAGTCATACGTTTTCGTTGCTTGATTTCCTGACTTTTCTGTTGCTATACGAATCTGCGTTTTAGCATGTTTGTATAATTTAAAAAAAAACAGAGACCAATTTAGCAAGTATTTTGAAGTATATATGATTCTCAAAGATAATTGTACAGAAAGGCCACTCCTTGCTATCGAAGTACGAAGTGCGGAAGTGGAAACATGTAACATGAGACTTTTCCATCCCCCTCTTGTGCTATCAATTTTCTATGGGTCACGCGACCAGGATCTTTGCTTCACAAGAGGAAAGAGCCTGGGAACGAGGTTGCGTTCAGGCGTCCTGGGACGCCCCTAGAGCAAAAAATGGACTCCTTTGGACGCCCAAATTCTGGGGGGAAAGAGAAATTATTTTCAATCATTTCCTTAAGTATGTTAATAAATCTGAAACGAAATAGCTTAAATTCTCATTTTTTGTTATATTATTGTATAATTTATATACTTACTAGAAAATACATGCATGCAGAAACCCTCGCCTTGCTGACAAAACCATTGTATTTTCCGAACATGAAGTTCTAAAGTAGTTGTCACGGTAACACGATAATTTTTTAAGAATATTCTTACAAATGAAAAATCGCCTAAAAATATCACTTTTAATTACAAAATTATTAATTTCCCAACATAAATATATGTTAGGTATGTTTTTATACGTAATATAAGCCTCAATTTAAGGTAAAATTCAACCACAAACACTTCGCAAAACGTTTTAAAGTCACTAGTGTTCATTATAAAACTAAACTGCCTTTTAAAATGGCTTTATCGATAAACTTTGAGTTAGCAATAAAATGATTTCAAATTCTGGCTTGCAAATAACTCAGTGCTTTCTTTTTTATTTAGAAATTCAATATCATAAAAAAGGGAATCAATATTAAAGATACACTAAAATTATATGCTGTTTGTTTAGTTGTTTCATATACGCAAAGGCCGTCGGGTTTTAAAGCCATTATAAAATCAATATTTAAAACAAACTTACCTTCGTTAACGTCGGCTCCCTTCTTTTAGACGATTCTTTCGCAGTTTCATTTTGAGAGAGCTTTTGAAATTTACAAAATCTTGCAAAAATGCGAGTAAAAATGAAATATATTTGCAAGAAATTTATCAATCATCAAATCAAGAAATGTTTGCTATTTCGCTGTCGTGATACATTCGTGCCAGTCGTTATAATGCAAAATTTAAATTGGACCAATCAGTGTCCGCTATTCATGACAGTCCGCCATATTTTTGAGATCAGTGAGGATGACCACCCATCGTTGGTCACCCACGCCCGCGATATTTGATGAACTTTAGACTCCGCTAATGCTTTCGTTTCCCCGGGTGTAAATAGCCGGGGGGAATTAGTACCCTCGCACGGCGCTTCGCGCCGTCGGCTCGGGGATAATTTATATATTTATATATTCATATATTTATAATTATTATATTATAGTTTGATCAATTTGATGGTGTACCTGGCTGAATGAAAATGTCATAGTTCTGTAAAGAAGCATGGCGGCACAAACTCACAAAGCCTAGTGTGTGTGAAAAATTTCGAACAAGCTTGGAACAGATACTTACATGAAGTAATATAAACTTCAAAGGTTTTCCAGAGGAAGTTCTCTCCCCCCCCTTCTTTACTGTATAGATGTATCGGTATACCAAAATTGGACACCCTCTTTTAGTATAGGAGTTGCTACATGATTTAAACTTTTATCACCAAGTGTAGAAGATGATTTAAAAGAGGGATTCTTGAGGAGCAGAGAGTCAGAGGATCTTAAACTGGCATTGATAAGTTTGTTTAAATGTCATTTGAACACACATTTTTAGTTAATAGTTAGTTCAAAGCCAAATAGAGCTGTGCACTGGAGTACCTGGAGCCGGAATTGCGACATATTTTACCAGAACAGCAAAAACTCTGGCAGACAAAATTATAAAAATTATTTAATATTTCAATGAACTTTTGGTAATGAAAAAATTAAGTTGAATGCTTTGAAGTTACTACAAAGTTTAATTACTTGCTCCAATCTGATTTGTGGCTTTTGATACAAAAATCCGCTGACCCCAATGTATTTGGGTTTACTTTACTTGCGGTTTTGCTTTCTACAAAACATTGTTTAAACAAGCACTGAAGGACGTATATTTGATAAGTAAAGGAGAAAGCTCAAAAAGAAATAAAATAAATTCTGAAATTACACTGAAATACTTTCGCCTGCTTCTACTTGAAAGTTCCCTAAAATTTCCTTGCCAGAGCTGGAGTTTTGACTGCCAGAGCTAAAATAACCAGAGTTTGCACAGCTATAAGTTTAACCCTTTAAGTGGCATTGCACCCAGATGCGCCCTATTTTATTATGTTACTCTGTCTAACACCAGGCGATTTCACTCATCATTCAATAGGTTGACTACCCGCCTATGCACCATGCTAACCCTTTAAGTGGCAATGCGCCTAGATGCGCCCACTTTACTAATGCCAGATTACTTTACTAACCAACGCTTTCATTTTTGGCAAAATTTTCTCACTTGGGTAAAAAAAAAATATGTGGTTTTCCAGTTTCCCGACCCTACCTAGCTTTTGGACGTCGAAATCCCGACCCTAAACTTTTTTATTGGATCATGCTTGTAAGTGTTTCCACTTGGAGGAAAAAGTTTGTGGAAAATTGAAATTTGAGGCAATATTAGGGAAATTTACCTTTGGATGTGGAAGCATTGACTAAACAAAATGACGTCCAGTTGTTAGGAAAATTTAAAAAAAAAATTTAAAACCCACCTACCCTACCTAAGTTTTTATAAGAAGAAACCGGAAACCCACATATTTTTTTTGGCCTTGCCACTATGTTCTATATGTGGACAGATGCCACAATATTTTCAGTTCTTTTTCTACACCCCCCCCCCTCCTAACAAGACTCCAAAAAAAGCAAGTACCCCCCTCCCATAGGACAAGATGAACTTTACATGACCCCCTCTCAATTTTTCCCACATAAATTATAAACGGTCCCTTAATCCCCAAGCCAACCTCGCAGAGTTCGGCCGAGAGGGTACTAATTCCGCACAGCTAATGATAACCGGTATGTGAAAACCTGGCATAGTTCAAAGTTGTCCTCCATTTTTGTTTATGTCATGGACGGTTTTTGACGTTATGCACATGAGCCAGTACAAACTCTGGCTAAACAATTTTTTTCATTTTGAAAGGATGTATTTTTTCTGTTATTATACAGCAATGTTTTAGTTTTTAATTTCTTAAAAAATTAAAAAGGCACAAAAATTTTGTTTCTTGATTTTAATTGATAATATTAAAGACTGCAGTTTCATGGAGTAAGGCATGGTTCCGTGTGAAAAAATACCTGTGGTTCCAGTTTCATATCGTGAAAAAATTAGGGTCGGTAGGTCGGAAATAAATTTTTGTTTTGAATATTTTTTTCATGGTTTTGCCGTTTTTTTGCTGGGCGATTTGCAGTAGAGTCCCGACATCAATATTAACTAGAGGTGCATATTTCCTATAGACGAATTGAGGCAATTTGGTTCAATAATTATTGTGACAACAGACACCATTTGGGCACGCTGTATGAGCAGCCCGCAACCACCTGGAGAAAATAAGGTCGCACGGCCAATCGCGTTAAAAAAAATAATAGGGTCGGCAGAAAAAATAGGGTCGGTCGGGAACTGGAACCACAGGTATTTTTTTTATGCCTAATGGCTGTTTGTATACATTTGATGTTGATGTTTTTAATAATTTTATAATCGAACTCGATAATTCACAATAAATAATGTGTTTTAATGCAAGCTGGTATTCTTATTACTTTATGTGGAGTGTTTTTATACTTCATCTGTTAAGAACGGCGAGGGGTTGCTGCATGCATGTATTTTCTAATATTAAAATATAAGGCCACTACAGGTTAATCTTTAGTTTCTGGTCCGGCCTTACCTTCGTTTACGACGCGGGCGGGCGGGTGGTTAGGACTATAGGACATATTACAATTGTCAGGCTTTGCCCATATTTTTGCAATCTCGTACCCAGAGCAATGCCTGTACGCGGGCTAGGATGACATTGGCTCTGGGGAAATTGAATTTTTCCTGTGCTGTGATTGGTTTAACGTTTATCAATCGTGCATGCCGACAAAGAACCGGAACCCCTAAATTTCGGGGTTCCGGTTGTCAATTTCCCCAGAGCCAATGCTTTCCTAGCCGGTGCGGCATTGCTCTGGGTACGAGATTGATATTTTTGTGGTCTTTCTTGTCCCTTTTCATGCCAGTTGTATCAAAATGTTATGAAATTTTACATAAATTGCATTTATATTATTTATAAATCGACATGTATAACAGATTATAAAGGATTTTACATATCAAAATGATCTATTAATATTTCTAGTTTTTTTTACCTCGTAATATCGATAAAACAGCGGTTTTTACCATTCAATACTACATTGTGCTAGGTCTTTTTAGTGTAAATTGAATATTTATCGTTCTATAAGTTAAATCCTTCACGAAAATTTTCAAGAACTAGAAATTAATTGTAAATGACAAAATAGTCCTGAAACTAAAGATTAACTTGTAGTGGCCTAAAGATATCAATCAAAACTCACCAATTTGGACGTTATAAATATACGAATAGTGGAACATGTACATTCACAGGATGCCCAACTTTGTCTTTACTTTATTATGTCCATAATTCATAAACTGTCTCGTCCACTGAAGATTTTATAATAAAATTAAATTTGAAAAAAAGCATGTCATTTTTACTGTATAAATAATCGCATGCATTTCATGTCTTATTTTCAAAAATTGCGCTAGAAGGTAATCAATTTCGTTCCCAGTGTTTCGTTATCAGAGCTTCCACTCGGAAGGAAATTTCCTTCCAAAAGGATATTTTGGCATTTGGAAAGAAAAATAAAAGGAAATAAGATTTGGAAGGAAATTGGAAGGAAATTCGGTCATTTCGAAGGAAAAGGGAAGGAAATTTTACAATTTAAACTTTTTCAGTAATTTCTAGTAATTTACTAATGGTTAAAACCTTTATTATGAACTTTTGACTTCAAAAACATTTATAAAAATAATACTTCGGATATTTGCATAACCATCAAGGATGAATGGGCGTAATTTGGGACTTAACAGGTCTTCAGTGAGTAAGTGAGTAGAGTACTTGTACATAAATAACGGGGGCTCAATTTTTTCGCGGGTTTTTAATTTAAAAAAAGGAAATGTAATTTCCCCGGAGGGTCAGGTACTTACCTGAAGGGGAGATGTAGTTCTACGAACTCCTTCGAAGACTGATACGAACAATACTAGTGCAGATCGCGGCGCGAGCGGTCTGGGTACCACGAATAAAATCAAGCCAACGCATGCGCATTTATCCTCTGAATGAGTGTCGTTGTTGAGGTCCACATGTCAGTAGCTGGGTGGGGAAGGACTTGTAAATCAAGAAGACTTCACTAGTGAATAGGTCCTTCCAAATACGGTGGGGATCGTATTGTTCGTATCAGTCTTCGAAGGAGTTCGAAGAACTACATCTCCCCTTCTGGTAAGTACCTGACCCTCCGGGGAAATTACATTTCTCCTTCACTCCTTCTCCGACTGATACTCACAATACTAATGCAGACTTCTGGTAGCTACTGGCATGTTGAAATACTGTAAGGTAATAGTAACAGAAATACACCAAACAACTGTACAAAACAGAAATTATATCCCCTACAAAACAGTCATATTAACATTAACTGCACATATAAAGTCTAACTGTTAAGAACAGCATGCACAAAAGCAGTCCGATCAGGACGTTTGTGATAGTGTTTTTCGAACACCTTGGCAGAACTCCAATATCTTGCTTCCACTATTAGGTCCAACGACAGCCATGCATCTGCAGCAGCTGAAGTAGAGGCACTCCTTGTAGAGTGTCCCGTAAAAACTAATGCTATACCAGCCAAATGGATTGTTTGTGTCAGCCAACGCGATACAGTCTGGCTTGAGACACTGTCGTTTGCAGTGCTGTAAGTAACTTCGTTAAAAGTAACTAGTTACAAGTAATCGTTACATTCTTCAGTAACGGTAACGGTAACTTGTTACATTTTGAGAACATGTAACTGTAACGGTAACTAGTTACAAAAAATGCCATAAAATTGAAACGATTACAAATTATTTTGCCAAAGTTACAAGTTACATTTTGTTCGTAGCTATTTGTGTACGTTTTTAAAATGAAATAAATCATTACACAGTCAGGCAAGCTCTTAATCATCTGCACAGGAGTAATTTAATCTGACACAACAGAATCCGTTCAAGACACAAATTTAAGTCAAGGATTGCCGGCAAATTTACGTACAGTTGAAACTGATCGAAATGCCGTCGCTCGCCTTCACTTGACCTTGGCTCGGCATAATTGGTCTTTGGCCTTGGCCCAGTCATGATCACGTATTTGATCATGACTGCATGGGCCAAGGCCAAAGACCAATTATGACGTATTCGGTCATGATCACAGGCTCATTTCACTTGGCCTTGACCCAGTCATGATCACGTATTCGCGTTTCTGCTTTTTCATTGCGAAGTCAGAAGCCACTAGCCAGTGAGGGATATTCTTTTTTTTTCAATCTATTCGTTCAGACTGTATAATAGCAGAGTTTTTTTTATTGACAATTCTATTAAAAAATCGATTTGGTGGAATTTTGCAGATGCATGCAGATACATCTAGTAAATAGTTATTAATTTTGCCAATAATTTTGCCGCAAGTTTCATTACCATTCGGCCCATTCGAATTGTATGCGTTCTTAATTGCAATCAGTAAAATGTAACTTGTAACTTTGTAACTAAGTTACAAAAAATATATTGTAACTTTGTAACTGTAACTAGTTACACTTTGGCGTCTGTAACTTGTATCGGTAACTAGTTATGTTTTTGGTAATGTAACTATAACTGTAACTAGTTACAAACAAACTGTAACTGTTACAGCACTGGTCGTTTGGGGCAATGTAAGACATTAAAAGCTTACGAGCCTTTCGAATGTTCCCAGAACGGAGGGTATAAGCTCTTAAAACCCTCACTACACAGATAGTGCTGTCTTGTGGAAATGAAGGAAGGTAGAACTTCCTTGGCGGGTAACCAGGCCTAGAGTTTTTTACATGCTCTGGAATCGTAAATTCCCAGGCCTCCTCCTTCACCAGCGAAAAATCAAGATCCAATTTATGCTGCCAGTTCGTGAGCTCTTGCAGATGTTGTGAGAGCTAATAGGGCAGCAAGCTTAAAGGTAAGAATCTTTAAGGGAATCTTCTCAAGAGGTTCTTAATTTCTCAGAAAATCCAACACTTTCGCAAGATTCCAGGAAGAACAATACTTTGGTTTGGGCGGCTTTGCCCTAAATACTCCTTTCATGAATTTGGAAACAATAGGCAGTTCACCGAGTGGTACAGAATCTATAGGATCATGTGTTTGCGAAATGGTAGATCTGTAGACTGCAATTGTGCGATACTCCAGGTCTTTCTCTTTCAACAAACTGGCTAGGAATGAAAGAACTGCTGTCACAGGTGCTGAAAAGGGACACCACCCACTCATGGTACACCATTCAGCCCAAGCTTTCCACGGGCCAGCATATCTCTTCTTAGTGGACTCACTCCATGATGATAGGAGGATCTCGATAACGTCTGGCGAAAATCCTGCTGTTTCAAAACGTCTCCGGATACTGGCCATACCGCCAGGTTGAGGGTTGCCCACAGAAGATGGTGCGTCGACTGATATTGCCCTCGGATCTGGAAATCTAGAGACATAACTCTCGACCTGGTGGGTTAGCCTTGATGCAAACAGGTCGACCTCCGGGAGATAAAACAGATCCACTATCTTCTGAAATATCTGGGAGTCCAATGTCCATTCCACCCTGGGGTTGAATTGAGGAGATGCCGTGTCGGCATCGACATTGAGGATTCCTGGAATATGTGTTGCTGTCACCCAAGATCTGATCATGAGGACATGAGACCAGAGTTCCAGTGCTATCGCTGACAGAGACGGTGAGTGTGTGCCCCCGCCCCCCCCCTCTTGTTGATATATGCCACCGCTGTGGTGTTGTCGATGCGCAGGTGGATATGAGCCGGTGGTGATTTCCGATTCCTTGTGAATGCCTGGATTGCAAGATATGCTGCTTTGAGCTCCAGCACATTGATATGTTGCTGTGACTCCTCTAGGCTCCAGCGTCCCCCGATGGAGATGTTGTGTGCTGTTGCCCCCCAGCCCAAAAGGGATGCGTCGGTGTGGATGACCAAGTCAAATGGTCGGGACCGGAGGTGATGAGTATTGGTGTTCTGGGGTTCCTGGGACAGCCACCACTCCACATCCTTAGCCTCTTGTGACAGGTCTAGAGACTGTTTCGATCCCTTGCAACCATATCTTAGGGTCCCAGCTGAGTGAACCCTCTGAAGTGCTCTGTAATGCAGAGGAGCCAACCAAATGCCATTCTGAGCTGCATGGCTCATGAGTCCCAGGAGTGCTGCCAACTCCTGCAGTGTACTCTTGCCTTTGGTACGAAGCTGGAGTGCTCCCTGTTGGATGAGATCGAGCTTCTCTGTCGGCAAGGACAGGGACATTGTGACAGTATTGAGCATTGTTCCCAAGAAGATAAGCTGCTGAGATGGGAACTGAGAACATTTGTTCAGGTTGATGAGAAATCCCAGTCCCTCGAGAAGGCTCACAACTTTCCTGAAGATAGATTGCAGAACACTGGGATCCTGATGTAAGATGAGAATGTCGTCCAGGTAAATGACAATTCGTATTCCCAAACTCCGGATATGGGCTATGACTGGAGTCATTAGCCTGGTGAAGGCTCGAGGGGCTGATTTCAACCCGAATGGGAGGCATTGGAACTCGAAAGTCTTCCCGTTGAACACAAAGCATAGGAATCTGCGGTACTCTGGGTGAACTGGGACTGAATAATATTCGTCCTTGAGATCCAGTTTCATCATGAAATCGTTCGGTTGTATCAAAGAACAAACTACTGGAAGACCCTCCATTTTAAAGGACCATTCTTCGACAAATCTGTTCAAGGGTTTCAGGTTGATAATCGGTCGAAATTCTCCCTTGGACTCGACTTTCTCCACTAGAAATAGGGAGGAAATGAATTCATTCTCGGCTGGTTGAACCGCCTTGATTGCTGTCCTCTTGAGAAGTGTCTGAATAGCAGTGTCCATGCGCTTCTGTTGAATGCTGGACCTGGTTGTTGTGATTCTTGGTCGCCACAGGCGAGGTGGGGACGTTAAAGGAATTTTGTAACCTACAACTGTCCTGAGTAATAGTTTTCCAATTGTCTAAAAAATGAACTAAACGGCCGGAAGGAGTATTTACACAATGGATATGTCTTAGGACTGGAAACGGATAGTCATAACTGACCGGAACCGTGGGAAGATGACTGGTTTGGTCGATTGGAGGGGCGTAGACACTTAGCCTGGGTATGGCTAAATCGAGAACGCGACCATCCTCGTTTGGCTGGTTGTCGTGAGTCGGTATGGAAACCTCTACTGGTGTTGCTGCCACGAAAGGGCTGATACCTAGGTTGGTGGGCAGGACGACCAAACATAGCAGGTTTAGAAGTAGGAGTACTAATCACCTTATTAGTAGTGGTGGAGTGGTCATGCTCATCCTTGATCTTCTCATGGAATTTATCTGGGAACAGATGTTTGTCGGTTGGAATGCCTTCCTTTAGAATACGCTTTCCAATGTCGGTGAGAAATTCACTAAAGCGTCTCTGACGCAAATTGTTTAGCCTGACATGTGCATTCCCCAGCATAGCCAGTGCATCCTCAAGGTAGTTTTTGATAGAGTCAGGGTCCGGGCCATCTCCCTCGTCGCCAGGACCATCCAAGACCATTAAGGCCGCTAACAAAGGGCGGGCCACCATAACAAAGGGGGCTTGTTGTTCAGCCAAACTCCCATCGAAGGCCAAAACATCTTTGGTTTTCAAATGGCCATGATGCTTACGCAAAGCTTCCTTCATGCCAGCCTCTAATTTAGGGGCGATCAAAAAGGAGTCAGTATCCTTTATGGTGGGATATGACTGGACTAGTTCGAGCCACTTTTCTCTTGAAAGGGCAGTCGAAAATACTTTCCTGGAAAGCTCAATGAGATCATCAGTAATGGTAGTTGATGACTCTTTACTATAAAATCTCTCACTTCTCAAAGGAGGTGGAGATGAGTCAGGTGTGCCCTCCCGTTCTGGTTGGGGAGCCTGGTTGACAATTTGCTATGGTTGAAAACCCGTAGATGCCAGAAAGGAGGTGAGCATAATTGGCATAGTCTTTGCCACAGTTTTAGCCCCAATTTTCTCGATTTGCACTCGATCGATTTATACTTTCCCCCTGGTCTCCAATGCCCGCCTGGTGGATCGGGATATCTGGAGTAACATTGCTCTACAAGGCAACAGAAATAGAAGACGTTCATTGACTCGTACCTTCAAGTAGGCAAACATGTGGCATATCCTATCTCGAAATATATGGCTTGAATAACGATTAAAACAATCAAATAAACACTGTTTAGACGTATAATCTACTTACATTCGCCTGAGAATCATCAGACATCATTATTTATTTCAACTTGATGAATAATTCACGATTTTTGAGCTAAAACACTACCCAGTGGTTGACCGAAGCGCGCCACGAAAAAAAGAAGATAAATGCGCATGCGTTGGCTTGATTTATATTCGTGGTACCCAGACCGCTCGCGCCGCAATCTGCACTAGTATTGTGAGTATCAGTCGGAGAAGGAGTGAAGGAGAAACTGTAATTTGTAAACCAAAAAAAGTAATTTATAAATTATGATGGCTCATATTCAGTCATTGAGTCGACATCTAGTCAGGCTCATCAGAAGATGAGGCTTGAAGCTTCAAGCTTCAAGTAGTTTTCAAATGTAAACGGAGTAGAAAGCGTGCAGGACAAGTGCCTGATACAAAAGCAAATTCATAAAAAAGTCGTTTAAGTACTATGTCGTTCGAGGAAACAGACAAAAAATGAGACAACAGAACATGTTTTTCAGGTTAAATTAGAGATTCACTATTTGAATACTGCAGTATAACACCTTCGATCAATTTACATCGGGAGTACAGTACTATACAAAATTTACTATGCTATTTTAAACTGATATTGGAAGGAAAAATGGAAGGAAATTTAGGATTTTGGGAAGGAAATTTTGCGGAAGAAAAGGACAAAAACGAGAAATTTTGCTTTGCCAAAGTGAAAGCACTGTGCAGCATACAATCGAGAGAAAAAAAATCCTGCAAAAGAGAGAGCTCAAGAAAAATTCCTACATGTAAATCTACTACTGACGTTTTTCATTTCAGTATTGTGTCCACAGGCTTGCAAGATTTTGCATTTTTGAGCAGGCACATTTGCTTAAAAGAACACTGGGTGAACAGTGGACAAAATCACAGGGATTCTACCGCCTTTGGAGCCTCAAAATAACCTATACATAGCCAGTGACATTCCCTGGCAAAATTGTTTCCCACCCCTGAGAAAATCTGGGCTTAAGATATGTACAAGTTTATAAGTTATTTATACATATATAATATGCATGGTAGAAAAAGTATTTTTGGATGGTTGAGTCTGTGTGCGTTTTTTGATAACATATATAGCTCCAAACTATTAATTAAAGCTTCAAAAGCCCATCTACAGGGTGCACGTTGAAAGTACTGTATACAGCTTATTCAAAAAAGGTTGTCCTTTGCAAGCCTTAAACTCTAAATCTTAAACTCTAAGTGTGCAAAACATAATGGGAGCATCATTTAATCAGTTTAGAAATTATATATTTGGCTCATTTCTTAGAGACAGGGTATATATCTTCTTATGAGATAATATGAGAACAATTCATTCGAAAACGTTGCAATATTCGACTATTAAGCTTGAAACTCGTGCTCCAATGCAAAGTTTGCAATGGACAACCTTTTTTGAATCAGCTGTATACGATTATTTTAATGGAAAAATGCCAGTTTAGAGAGTCTAGATTTTTCTCCAACATGCTATTTGTATGAACGATTGAAAAGCTACAGAGCTATTTTTGATGGAACCATTGTTGTTTCGGAGGGCAGTTAAAAATCGCATTATTGAAATCTTGTTTTATTACATATTAATCAAAGCTCATTTTGTGATTTCCCCTTGTTTAAAATAAAGGACAGTAAGTGTTCCTTAGACTTAGTGAAGCAAAGTTGCTGGACGAATCCATGGCTGAAAACGCAGGTTTAAATTCCGAGGTCTAAATTTTAAAATTCTCTCGGGCGAGCATGAACGAACCCCTGAACCCCCAAGGTTACAGGTCATTCATATACTGTACCCCCTCCCCCGCCCCTCAAAAATCAAATGATCCGCCTCTTACAACGAACAACGAGTTAGCGACGATTACAGCATACTTAATTAACCCGACCAACATCCACCGACTTTGGTCGCATTACCACGGCGCAGAATAACTAGAATTTATTCTATTGTTTTTTTTATTCTAATTTATTTATTTTTACTACACAGAAGTATACTACGCCTATGATTTTAGCGTCACCGTTACAAAATGCTGACGCCATGGGTTTTAGTCAGTACGCGTTTGAGAGGCATACCCTCCTGACGATCGCCACTCTGAATATTTGCAGGGGGAATGCCTCTCAAACGCGAACTGACCCATGACGTCAGCATTTTAATGACAAATCATTGCAATTCATGGTACTGTATAACCCCAAAAGGCGTAACCGCTCCACTACACAGACGCCAGACTTCTGGGTTTCTCCTTTGAGTTTGACGTAAACCGTAATTCGTCATCAAAATGCTGACGCCATGGTCCTAACCAGTGCGCTTATGAGAAGATCTCCCAGTCAACTCTGCGTCTTTTATCTGGAACGATAACATGCAGGAGAAACGTCAAGCCAATGCCAACGACAATTCACGCCAACGCCAGCGTGCTGACGCGCACTGATTTGTGATAGATTGCACGTAGATGGTGTATAAGGGGACTCAAACTGATGTACTATGTGGCTTGAAATGGCGTAGAGTACTGTCGCCACTGCGCACGTGAGGCTTCAATTTTAACTGGTGAAGAACAGCGTGTTATTATTCCGGGCATAAACTAACTTTGAGTCCCCTAAACCCCCGTGATAATATTTAAAATGGCAGACGTCCAGTGGGTGAATGCTATTCATAAGAGCACTGGCTAGGACGATGGTGTTGTCGAAACTGAAAATTGGCGTGATATATGCCCTCGTCATGCATTTTTACGCCATTTTCAGGTCGTCTTTGACGTCGCTTCCTCTTTGCTAAACCGCTCTATTCACTAATCGGGAACAAACAAAGGATTACTAAACTTTTATGAGATAGTCAACCGACCTGTAAATCGAGAGAAAACCGAAAAGCCTTTAGCTATTGCAATGAGAAGCATTCACCCTTCAAACGCGCACTGGCCAGCACATGACCTCAGCGTCGTGAACGGTTACGCCAGAATCATAGGCGTCGTATATGAATTTTCGATTCTGTTCTATGTAGATTTTGTTCTATGACCACGGCTTTGCTATGCCTTGACACACTTCTACTCGAGTTAGCTAGCCTTAGAACTTATGCAGTATTACCACAGCTCTGGCATGCCTTCCCAAACGTCTACCCGATTTAACCCAGCTTACAACGACTTAGCCATGATTACGACATGCTTCACCCAGCTTACACCAACTTAGCCCGCATTACCACAATTTCCTATAACTATATTCTCGAGTAACTTCCACCCGACTGAGACCGCCATAAAAAGACTTAGCAACCATTACGGCATGCTTAACCCGACCTAACACCGAACTCAGGCCAAATTTTACCCAACTTAGCCCATCTTACCAACCACTTAGCCATGACATGGATAAAGGCATGCTCAACCCAAATTACACCGTCTTAGGCCAAATTACCACGGTTTTGCTTATTTTCACTAACCTCTACGGACTTAACCCGCCTTAGTTTTAAGCAACTTAGTCTCGATTACTGCATGTTTACCCCGACTTACACAGATTTATGCCGCACCACCACGGTTCTGCTATCCCTTCCCAAACATATTCTATATGACTTAATCATAATTTTTTTTGTTTGTTTCCCTATGTACAGATTTTAATAATTACAAAACAACTTTCTTCTAATGATATTGGGCTAGGGACTTACTAGAAACCTTTGACAGGCTTTTTGGTTTAGGCCCCTAGTTGTAGTTGTGGTTCATAATGAGGTTAATTAATATATTTACAGTTAAAGATAATGAAAAAAGTAATTTTTAGAATATATGCTATTTACAAAAGAAGGATGATAAAGCAGGAGTACTACAATAAAAGATATATGTTAAAATATCAATAAAATATGAAGACCGTATAATTTTATATAGGATTCAGTAAAAATACTGTTTCATTTCTTTCTTGAAGACATTATAGGAGTTGGTGCCTTTAAATTTTGGTTTTAATGTATTCCAAATATCAATTCCTTTATTAGATAGACTGTGTTTTACATAGTTTGTTCTCTTATAACACTTATAGAGTTTTGACGCATTTCTCGTGTTGTATTGATGGATCTGATTATTTGTTACAAAATAATTTTCAAAAACTTCTGGTAGATTCTTAAGATGGTGGTAACGAAACATGAACGTGGCAGTTAAATAATAATTTATTTTGAAAATATCTAGGATGCCTAATTCTTTGAAAATAGGCTCAGTATGTTCCAAATACGATTTAAATGTCATCATTCGAACAATTTTTTTCTGTATATTCATTATTTTTTGTATTCTGGTTTTGTAGGTATTACCCCAAATCAAGTTGCCGTAGATAAGATATGGATAGACTAATGCATAGTAAATTAATTTTCCTGTATTTCGGGTTACAAAATGTCTAATTTTTGCTATTATGCCCGAAGCTCTTATATTTTTTTTTGCCACCTGAGCTATATGGTCTTTCCAGGTCAAACATTCATCAATAATAATACCAAGAAAGGTTGTACTTTTAGCTTGTTCTATATTTTTATTGTTTAGGTTTATTTTTATCTTATGTTTTGGTTTCTTATTTGAAGACCTAAATAAAATTAATTTGGTTTTCTTTATATTTAGAGATAATTCGTTCACATTTAGCCATTCAGTAACTTTATTCATTTCCACTTGAATAATTGTATTAAGTGACTTGAGACAGCTGTTGCTATAAAATATATTAGTGTCATCTGCAAACAATATAAATGAGAGTAATTTACTGCTATGCTCAATATCATTTATATATAACAGGAATAGATAGGTCCAAGTTTGATCCTTGTGGAACACCAGTTTTAATTACCATTGAGCGGAAGTTAGTATTCCGAAATATTTAGCACATAGTGGAAACACATAGTGGAAACACAACAAAAACAAAGAGCATGGTTTTTATCGCGATCGAGACAAAGTGACATTATATTTTAGTTTTTCTTTATATTTATGATTCTTTTTATGAAATAAATAGTAAAATAACCAAAAGTGAGATTGGGAGTTATTGTACCGACGAAGTTCCGTACATTTAGTGGTACGTGACCAGGATTAAACGGGAAATTGTGCAAAATACACACGAGACTTTGAGTATTAATTTAAAAGTATGACCGACGGTGAATCGGGTACAAACGTAAGTGATTCAAGTCAAGTTGATGAACAAGAAACAAGTATTATCTGGAGGAAACGGACGAACTCGTCGAGAATAATGAAATATCCGAGTTGCGAATTGCATCGAAAAGAACTGACGAAATTCGAGACGAATTAAATGATCTTATTTCACGCGTACAAGAGCTAAAATTAGACTCAGGAAACACAACCCAAAGGGCGATCAGGCAATTGAAGAATGATTTGAAAGCGAGTTTTGCACCGTTATTGGAGAAAAAGGAGAAAATCAATGGAGTATTGGAGAACATAGAGAAAAAACGTTGTTTAGATTTGGAGACAGAAAAGTTAAAGGTGAAATTTGAGAACGAAGAGAAGTTTAGAATCGAGTTACAAGAGAGAGAGAAAGCACTTTGGGAAGAGAGATTAAAAGCCGAGATCAAGATGACCGAGAAGAAGTTAGAGATGGAGACTGCCGCAAAGGTATGTAGATCAAAATTACCTGAACTTAAAATAACTCCATTCAAGGGGACCCCAGAAGATTGGATTAGATTCGAGAACATGTTTACGACACAAGTTAATAACAAAACAATTTCCGCAGAAGAGAGAAGAAAAAGAGAGAGAGAAAAAGAGAGAACGCCATATGTTCAGCCAAAAGGGGGAGGGGGCTCAAACCCACCGAGGTCCCCACTGCATATTTGAGTGCAAAGAATCACACTGGGGAGACACATGTCCAGTGTATGACACTCTTGAGAAACGTCGTCGATTCTTTTCTGAGCACCGCCTATGCTTCAATTGTGCACGGTCAGGACACAGAGAAAATAAATGCCGTGGGAGGGGTTGTTGTAAGTGCAAAGCAAGGCATCATACCAGTCTGTGCAATAGGGAGTCAGGAAATGAAACGCAGAACCACAACAAACTGTTAAATGGATTTTCACCCTCAAAAGAGGAGAAGTCTCTTCCGGCCATCATCCCAATGAAAATCCAGGGAGTCATGTTTTGGGCGTACTTAGACACTGGCTTGCGGCGGAACTTTGTTTCTAAAGAAGCAATAAATAAGCTAAGATTAAAGCCAAAGCGACATGATAGGCGTCACATTTTAACAGTTAACGGGACGAAAGAGCAATCGATGCCAGTTTTTGCTGCAACAATTGAGTCGGCCGACGGGAGTGTAAGCAAGTCAATCGAACTGACGGGTAGCAAGATGTCGGATTTCACCACTGTTAAGCGGCCTACAATTGCTGAGGTAAAGGAAAAGTACCCACACGTGCGAGGGAAAACTTTCTATAGAACCGCCAACGAAGAATACCCAATACATGTGATACTTGGAGACGCAGTCTACTGCCAGATAAAGACGGAGAGTATTATCAAAGGTGAACCAGATGACCCAATCGTAGAGGGCACAACCTTTGGTTGGGTTGTGCATGGTGGCAAGGAGTATGCAGATGGAACATGTATGTTCACCAGAGAAACAAACGAGTATGAGCGCCTATACTCCCTAGACGTGCTAGGGATCGAGGATCGGGGCGAAGGTGACCAGCTTGATGTCTATCGAGAGTTTCAAGAAAGCATCACAACGCGAAACGACGGGAGATATGAAGTGAGCGTACCGTGGATACCGGGAGCAGAGCTTGTCAACAGTAACGAGGAACCCAGCAGGAAACGGTTGAAGAACATAGAACGGAAACTGAGTCATGATAAAAAGCTTCGAGAGGCTTACAAGGAGATTGTGAAAGACCAGCTAGAGAAAGAGATTATTGAGCCAGCACCCTCCCAGCCAACAGGACCTTGCGTTTTCTACATGCCTCATATGCCCATCGTCCGAGAACAATCTAGCAGTTCGAAGGTGCGAATGGTATTTGACGCAAGTGCGAGACCCAATCCGTTAGCGAACAGTGTGAATGAGTGTATGCACACCGGACCGTCTTTACAACCGTTGATGTGGGACATTTTAATAAGAGCGAGAATGAGTCCACACCTTGTAGTAGCAGATATCCAAAAGGCGTTCCTTCAGGTGGGCCTGAAGGAGGAGGACAGAGATGCCTTTAGGCTTCTTTTCAACATTAACAACCATGAACAGCACTTCAGATTTGCCCGAATTCCCTCCGGTGCAGAAGCCAGTCCGTTCATGCTAGGAGCTACAATAAACTACCACCTTGACCACCAACCCGATACCCTAGAGACCACCGTTCAAGCGCTACGACAGAACACATACGTGGATAACCTCATGCAGATCTCAGACGACATCGAAGAACTGAGCAAGTTCAAAGAAGAAGCAACCCACATCTTTGAATCGGCACAATTCCCCATTCACAAATGGGAATCAAACGTACTGGAGTTAGACACTGAACCCAATCCAAGCAAGATACTTGGACACATCTGGGACAAGCGTGAAGACTCGCTTGAGATCAAGGTTGATGCAAGTTCAACGGAGGGTAGTCCTGTGACAAAGCGTACTATTCTAAGTAAACTCAGTGGCGTGTACGATCCACTAGGGATAATGTCTCCAACCATGGTAGAGGGGAAGCGTATTTATCGGGAAGCTTGTGACGAGAATGTTGGCTGGAACGCGGAAGTCAGTGACGTAGTGAAGAAAGATTGGGTACGGTGGACTAGCCAATTGAGAAACGTGAGAGTACCAAGAAGCATAGCAAAAGACATACGTAAGATTAATAAAGTACATCTACATGTGTTCGCTGATGCTAGTAATGTTGCATGTTCCACCGCAATAGCAGTGATTGAACATTCAAGCGGAGTGATCAAGGGGCTACTGACGTCGAAGAGTAGAATATCGAAGCGCAACACCACAATAGCGAGGTTGGTCAGTGGGCATATGGCCGCAAATATGGTAAAGAACATCCTTTCTGCCCTGAAGCTGTGGCCCATTGCATCTGTTACTGTTTGGATGGACAGTATGGTGGCGCTGTACTGGATCTGCAATCCAGGGAAATCATGGAAAGTGTTTGTGAGCAACCGTGTGAGAAAGATCGCAGAAATCACTCACGAGACCGGAATAATCTGGAAACACTGTCCAACAGATAAGAATTTAGCAGATCTCGGAAGTCGAGGAGCAAGCTTAGACAAGATGGAAAAGGGAAACTGGTTCTCAGGACCAGACTGGTTACTTGACGAGAGAGAGTGGCCAACACAACCGAAGCTCGTGACAACGAAAAGAGTAAGCGAAGAATTCAAGCCTACAGTAGCGGAGGCACTGTTTACCGTGAAGCGAGAGCCGAACGAGTGGGATGCTCTATTTGAGAAGTGCTCCTACTGGAAGACCCTACGAGTGACAGCATGGGTTCTAAGGTTCAAGCACAATGCCCTGGCCAAGAACCGAAAGACGAAGAAGAAGAGTGGTCCACTTACCACCGAAGAGATCGCCAGCGCAGAGGATTGTTGGGTCCGAAGAGTGCAAGTGGACGTTGAATCCGATCTTGAGACACCAGGGTGGAAACTAGCAAGGCACGAAGACACAGGCATCCTCAAGTGCAAGGGGAGGATCCATGGTTATGAACCTGTTTTCATCCCAAACGGACACTTTGCAGAGAAATTAATCCGTCATGCTCATCAGCAAGTCAATCACCTTGGCGTCGCAAATACGATGTCTGCAGTCAGAGAAAAGTGGTGGATACCTAGATTGAGATCAAAAGTGAAGAAAGTGATCAACCGTTGCAACCGATGTAAAGTATTTAGAGCCAAACCGTATGGGGCGACAGCGACAGCAGATTTACCGAGATTTCGCACAGAATGCAGCAGACCATTCGAGACGACAGGGATCGATTTCACGGGACCTTTGAGGTACAAGTTATCGAAGCGAGACGAAGGCAAATGCTACATTATCATCTTTACGTGTGCAACATCCAGAGCCGTTCACCTCGAAGTCACGGAATCCCAAACGGCGGAGGAGTTCCAACGAAAGCTGAACGCGTTTGTGACGCGACGCACGAGGCCGAAACGCATTGTATCAGACAACGCGTCCGTGTTCAAGTCTACCGCCACTTGGATCAGGAAGATACGGAAAAGCGAATCCCTTCAAGACCACCTCGTGCAATTGGAGATAAGATGGCAGTTTAACCTCTCGAGATCTCCCTGGTGGGGAGGCATGTATGAACGACTGATCAAGGAAATAAAGAAAACCCTATACAAGACGATGGGAAGATCACATTTGCGTTACGAGCAAATGGAGTCAGTAGTTATGGACATTGAGAGACACCTAAATAACCGCCCACTAACATACGTGGAGAGTGACAACGGCGAGGAGCAAGTATTAACACCCAATGTGATTATGTGGGGCCAGAATTCCCATACTATAGAAGATATTGAGATCGAAGGTGATGAAGTCAGCAAGCTTCACGCGAGACTGATGTTGAAACGACAACAGGTATGGCAACGATGGAAGAAAGAGTATGTCCACAGCCTTATGGAGAGCCACAGAGTACACAGAGGAGTGGGTAGGGTTCCTGAAGTCGGAGAGATCGTACTGTTGGTCGGCGACAAGAAGAATAGGGGTGAGTGGACGAAAGGGAAGGTTGAGCGGCACATCCAAGGCAAGGACGGTGTAGTGAGGGGCGTGACACTCCTCCACAAGGGTCACTATATTCAGAGGCCCTTAACGCTGATATGCCCGTTGGAAATTAAGGCTGTCGAAGCAGTTCAACCCGAGCAAAGACAAAAAGAAACGCAACAACTGCGACCGAGAAGTACTCGAAAGGCGGCGGAGACAGCTCGTGAACGGATACGTCTAACTGCTGATGCTGATTAGTGTTGAAAGACTATGCAAATATATTAACATTGAGAAACATTAGGCCCAAGAAATCCCGGACATTGTTGAGATTGTTGCTAACATTATGCACGTAAAATTAGTTATGTTATTATAATTTTAGGGGAGCGTGAGCGGAAGTTAGTATTCCGAAATATTTAGGATATAGTGGAAACACATAGTGGAAACACAACAAAACAAAGAGCATGGTTTTTTATCGCGATCGAGACAAAGTGACATTATATTTTAGTTTCTCTTTATATTTATGATTCTTTTTATGAAATAAATAGTAAAATAACCAAAAGTGAGATTGGGAGATATTGTACCGACGAAGTTCCGTACAATATATATATATGTATGTATATACATATATATATATGTATATATATATATATATATATATATATATATATATATATATATATATATATATATATATATATATATATATATATATATTATATATGTATATATTATATATGTATATATATAAGTATATGTATATATATATA